TTAGGTTTTTTTTGTAGGCTTCTGGTGGAAGCCTAATTAGTATCTTTCTCTAGGAAAATTTCAGGGAAAATAAAATATTTGAATCCCATTCAATGAATACAAACCATTGGGGCATCTTTTGTGGGACAATGAGAAATGGTGGGGCCTGGAAGAGAACAAATTTTTATTCAGTGTTTGTTTGGTTCCAAACAATTTTACATATGGTACTCCATTTAATCCTTATGGGAACCTCTAAGAGAAAGTGCACTTACTAACTCAGCTCACCAATTATAACACAAAGAGATGAGGCAATTTCCCTAGCCCAGGGCTACACTGCTAGTTACAGCAGAAATTCAAACTCAGTTTCTTTTACTCCAAAGCACATATTGTTTATACTTTATCACACTAGCAAGTTTCCAAATTGGGATGTTGGTGATAAAATGAACATTGTGACTTGTCCTTCAATTAGATATTTTCAGGTTTCACTTTTGGCTTTTGAACTTTACCATTTTTTAAAGCTTTTATTTGCTTATTTATTTATTTATTTAATTACTTACTTATAGAGATGGAAATGGAGGAAGAAAGGGAGGGAGAGAAACTCCAGTTTGTGAGAGAAACATCAGCCAGTTGCTTCAAACCCCCAACCCAGGCATGTGCCCTGGCCAGGAATTGAACAGACCTTTCGCTCTGTGAGGTGATGCCCAACCAACTGAGCCACACAGGTCAGGGCTGAATCATCTTTCTTATACATGTCTGCTATGAAACCATCAAGACAAAGTGGATAGTATAAAACATCTATTGGCTGTGCATTAATTAATAGTTATCCTATTTCTGAGCAAAGGACATATCGGCACAAAAATCATGTATCCACCTCACTGGTAGGTCAAACTTCATGGCCAATTTTCCTTTTAGCATTTGCAACTGAGCTTCCTTAGTTCTTCAGTAAATGAGAACCTAGACATACAACCCAGGTTACTGAGCAATAGATGAGGTGAGAAGAAGGGAGAAAAAGGTACAATAAGAAAGGGAAACCCAGATGGATCTATAGCAGGGGCCAGTCAGGGCTGCACAGCAGGAAGTGAGCTTGAATGTAATGCACTTGAATCATCCTGAAACCATGCCCAACTGCCACAGGAAACCAGACCCTGGTGCCAAAAAGGTTGGGGACTGCTTATCCAGAGGGTATTATGCTAAGTGAAATAAGTCAGGCAGAGAAAGACAAATATGGTTTCACTTATACATGGAATCTAAAAATAAATAAGCAACAAAACAAAAACTGACTCATAGTAACACAGACCTAAGGGATAGTTATATGATGGGAGGGAGGGGGAGATGGGTGAAACAGTCAAAAGGGAAAAAGAAATATAGTCAATTGTGATACATTTACAAGGTGACAAATGATTACCCAAATTAGTGGGGTGATCACATTGTAAGGTATAAAAAATGTCAAACCACCACATTGTACCCTGAAATACTAATATAACCAATGTAAGATTATATACCAACTCTACTTAAATTAAAAGAAAAAGACAACTCAGGAACTGATGCAGTTTTAGGGAAGCGAGAACAAGACAGATCACACACGTTGCTGTGAATAGTTTTCTTAGTGATTAAATGACTCCTATTTTCTTTCTTGTAAAATCATTTCTCTGTTTGCAGGATCACGACTACATCTGTGCAGTTGCTGGTTCATTGTAACATATTGCCCCAGTGTGGGAAAACAAGCCATCCGCCAGTTTAAATATTATTGACTCATTGATTGAATTCTTTTACTAGGAGGGCATGTTGCGATGAAAGACCAGCCTTTTGTTGTTTTTAGAATACTTACTCTAGCTGTACATGCAGCCGCATTATTCTCTCACTATCATTTTTCAGTTTGCTATCATGAAGTGCTATTGGTGGATTTTTGCAGCTTGCTATAAAAACATATTAAGGTTATTGGAGAAATACACACTCATTAATCTTAAGGCATTTTGTAAAACATGGACTGTCATGAACATGCAAATAATCATTTGCCTTGTTTCAAACCAGAAACAGATTCCATCTCCATAGGTTTATATAATCCTTCCGTTCATGAACTTATCTGTCATGAGTGCCACTCATCTGGATGAGTGCAACCAGCAGTCTTTATTGCAGAATGGGCCAGCTGCCCACGAATGTTTGCTCAGAGACGAGAATGATGAAACTGGTTTCATTTGTTCTATTGTTCACACTTAAAAAATACTCATGAGCCTTAAGTCTTGAAGAATAAAGACAGTAATAATAATGTCAGATAATGTTTAATTATTTATTACACATTAGATGCTGTCGTAAGTACTTCTTCTATAATCTCATTTTTTCCCCTTCAAAACAATTCCCTATGTAGGTACTACTTTTAACCCCATTCTACAGGTTACCCGGCAAGGCTAAGATGCCTCGGGGAAGGGAACTTGCTGAAAGTCCACACTGGGCATTACCGAGCTAGGACTGGGATACTCGATTTTTTGACATCAAAGCCCTGGAGCACTGCGTCACTGATACCAGCTGGAGGTAGGAGGAACTGTCAGTTCATCCCAGACAACCCCTCGCCATTTAGGACTGACTTTTAAACAACCTGGGGAGACAGGTCAAAGGAAAAGCCGCCACCCCTTCAGCCAGCACTTGCCACGGCAAACGTCACAGCAGTTCAATCCTCAATATCACTTTTTCAAAAAAACAACGATCCTTCTTGGAAGGAAAATTGCATGTAAAGTCTTTTTGTATTTTATATAATGAAAACACATTTAGATATATCTTCCTGGCTTTCATTTTACCTTCTCTGCCAGCACCCAATTAGAAAAATGGATGCAAGTTGCCATTAGCCTCAGGTAGGTCCAGGGCTAACAATAGGTAGATCTTTTTTGAGACAGGTGTGCTGACAAAGCCCTCACCTGTCTTTATGAACACCTCAAAGCTCAGAACAGCTGAGCAGTACCTCTGTCCTTTGGAAAAATATTACTGTATGCTCACTCAGGCTTGCCTACAAAGTCAGCTTACAGACTTTTCCATAGATACATAAATATGTACATGGAGATAGACAGAAATAAATAAATGAACAGTTCACAATCCCACAATTAAATATAGTAAGTTTCCCCTTAACATTGTCAACAGGCTGTGACTTTAGGCAAAATGATATATAACAAAACTAATTTTGCCCATAGGCTGATTATGAACAAGAGTTAATTTCCTACTGGACCTTATTAATGTTATAACAAAATGGCACCGAATGAAACCTTGCTATTTAAGAACCTGCTATATGCCTGTGATCCAATATTTGGAACACGCCCAGTCTGGACTTGCCCTGAAAGTCCAGAATGGAAGATGACTAGGGGTTTTAGCCCCTTCTCTCCTGGGAAGAACTCTACACAGTTGTGTAATGGCAACAACTGTGTTTCTCTGGGGAGCAGATTTAATTGATTCTAATAATAATGTCTATCATGTATTAAATACCCATTTTTTCCAAGCAGTTTTAAGTTCTGAAATTATTTCCAATCAGTATACATCTGAGGAGTAATAGCCCTTTATAACTATATGTCATTTGTGTTCTCCTGAATTTTCATATTTCCACTTTGTACTCTCTCTGCTTTGCTTTCAAGCATGGGTTTTCCTTTAGTGTGTGTTGATTTTCCTTAAACAGCAACAACAACAAAAAAATCCATGAGTGCAAAGCAAAACAATGCCCTGTCTTTTCATCAGTGTTACTACTGACAGACCGATTTGTAGGGAGATACTGTTCTCTTTTCTCTCACCACTCAGGTAATACCTAATGAAGACACACAACTCAAATATCTGGGAGTAATCTGACAGAGCCTGCCACATGCATCAATATCCTTTGTAGCATTTTGTTTCATTTTTCAATTTGCATGCATTATGCATTCTAGTCTATAATACAATCATTTGTTTCACTATAAATATTACGAGGTTTTCCCTCAGACTCTGTAAGTAAATGGTGCATGACTGTGCCCCGCATTCATGCCCCGGTTTGTGCAGCTCTCAGAACACTGCTGTGCTTCTGGTACTATAATCCAAAGAGCATGCATTGTATATTAATTTTTACATTAAGGGGCATCACCCTGTAGCTAATTGCATAACTTTGGATCGCTAACACTATTACCACTTAATTGTCTATAACAGATGTAAAGCAACTTTCCTCAAAGTGAATCCTTTTTTCCAAATGCCTTCCATATTATGAAATGATGATGAATTTCTGCAAGAAAAATTTCCAAAGATCAGGCTGAACATGTTTTTGTGGAAAAGTGCTCAGGTTTGGCAAAATGGATATTAAAGTGCTAAGATGTATAGAATCATATTCCTTACCCAGAAGTTAATTTCACTTTTATGTCTTTCTTGACTCTGCAGTACACATCTTCTCTGAGAACATGACATGCCTTATTTTCTTTCTTTCATCTCTTCCTTTCCTTTCCACTTTCATTTATGTTGTCTAACAGAGATGAATGTTAAGATGCTACTTTATCACCAGGTGACTCCAGTTTGAATTTATTTTTAATTTCATGCTTCAAATTATACGAAGTGAGTTAGTTATCTTCTTTGTTTCATTTACAGGCTTAAAATAATCTACTCAGAGTTTACTTAAAGGAAGAGATTCCTGTAGCAATTAAGAAGCAGTGAAATACAGGATAGAAATCCAAAGGACTAGGTTTGTCTGGTCCTTACATCTGTTAATACGCAGTATGTAGTGGTTTTCTCACCTATCAGATAAGATCACTAAATAATAGTCACAGGATTTCCTTACAACTACTGCAGTTTGAGTTAATTTTAAGCACTGTTAGTTATGTTCATATTCCAGAGCTCCTGGTTTCACTTCCTGATTGAATCACATGGCTAAGCTACTGCAGCCAATGGGACTTCAAATTCAGCCACATAGTTCCTCAGAGAAAATAAAACAAAACCCCTTCCTGAGGACCATGACCCCATGTTGAAAGTACACATACATGAAGCCCACACCCTCCTCCAAACACAAACACTAAACGTGGCGTCCCTACCTGGGCTGGGTGGCATACAGACACAGGAAAAGAGAGTGTTGTAGCCCACTTTGAAGTCCGAGTTGATGGGGTAGTAATCAGCAAGCTTGATCATCTTCTTGAAAGCATCGTAGATAAAGATGAAGCTAATCAGAGAAGAGAAGCCCTCTTCAGTGAAGCGTGTAAAGTACTGAACCAAGAAGCTGGCATCGGTGGCTACCAAAACGAGACACAGGAAGGCTGACCACAGGCCGATCCAAAGGCGAAACTCCAAGTAATCAAAACTGTGGTCCCTGAAAAGAAGAAAGAAAGGTTACACTCCTTCTCCAATGCCCGCAAAGTATAATGTAAAACTACCAAATATATTTCAGTAGAAAGACTGCTAAAAATATAAGACTACCTTCAGACAGCAGATAAAAGCTCATTCTTGATTTTTTTCCCAGAAAATATTGTTTAAAGATTTGTTCTAGTACTATTAATATGCTACCATCAAGAAAAAAATTCCAGTTTGAGAAAAGCACATCAAAAGCAGCCATACCATTTGTATGTGAACAATTCATTCGTTTTTTCACTCCCTGCCTTCATGGAGTTTATAAAGCAAACAACTTGAAAACCTAACACCAGAACCCAGTATGTGTTCAATAAATGTTTGTGAGCTTTGCCAGTTAATGAAGACACTGAAATAAACATGTTCTCTGTCCTCAAGTCTTCACAGTCTGCTGAGAGAGACACACTGGTAAATATAATTTCACTGTAAAATGCTAAGTGATTTCTAAAAGTCCACACGGTGTCACAGAAGAAGGAGAGTTAGTTAATCCTGGCTGGTGGGCTGATGGAGCAGCAAAAAAAATCCTCGAGGTATTTAGGTAGAAACTTTCTGGAAAGGCCAGGGAGGGTCAGGCCGGGAAACGTTGAAAGAGTTTCTTACAAATGCAGGGGGCATGACACCATTCGTTGTGCTCACGGGGGCCACCACTGTGAGGAGAGGAGATCAGCACCATGGGCAGTACTCCGACCAGGAAAGGCAGTCTTGCTGGGCTACAGCCAGATGTGACCACTTCCCGACACTTACCTAGTGACATGACTGATACCCTTCTGAAGCTGGATCTGAAACAGCATCTCAGTGCAGGCTGCCTCCAGCTAAAGAGGCCACTGCTTTTCAATGCCTTTCTGTTTCTTACAAATGAATAGTCCAAGATTCACATTTAGAAAAAGAAGGATCAAGTGTTGACAACATTTTATCATTTCATACTGATTCATTTAAAATTATGTGGTGAGTGTTTTACAATGTTTTTTTCCCATAATTTTTTTGTGACCAAAACCAGATAATAGTCGTCACAGTTCTTGTATGAGACAAAGAAGTAAATCAGTGTTCAAACATGCTTGAAGCTCTATATCCATGTTTTTAGACAACGGGCGACTGATAACTGTTAGTAATATATTTTAATACTTTCCCAAAGGTATCATATCAACAGCTTCACCAATAACAACCCAGTCTGGGCCAATAAGAATTCATTGTCTACTTATTATAAGAACCTCCTTACTGATATGATATCCTTATTTATATCCGTGCTTATCCTATTCAAAGCCATTTTTCACATAACAGCCAAAATGATCTTTGTAAATGTAAATCAGAAATCTCAAAGGCCTTTCTGATGGCTTCCCACTGTTCTCAGAACCAAATTCAAACTTCTGCCTAGGACAGTGCCTGGCACTTAGCCGATGTCCAATAAAGACTGGCTGGATGAATTAATGTGACTGTGACCCAGAACTTGACCGAGACAGTTCCTGACATTGATCTATGAGCTATCTCATGTAATCAGAAGATAACTGACTGAAAATTTTATAGAATATTAAATTTAATAGCTCCTTAGATAATGTGATGACTAATTTTATGTGGTAACTTGGCTGGGTTATGCAGTGCCCAGATATTTGGTCCAACATTCTGCATGTTTCTGTAAGGGTGTTTTTGGATGAGATTAACATTTAAGTTAGTGGATGTTGAACAAAGCAGAGTGCTTTCCATAATGTCTGCAGGCCTCATTCAATCAGTTGAAGGCCTGAATAGGACAAAAATACTGGCCTCCCCAAAGCCAGACAGAATTCTTCAGCAGACTGCTTTTGGACTTTATCTATATCACGGGAGCTTCCCACTTCTATTGCAGACAACCTTCAAAACTTGAACTAGAATGTCAGTTCTGGGTCTCCAGTTTGCTGGCTCACCCTGCAGATTTTGGATTTTCCAGCCACTATAATCATACGATCTAATTCCTTATGATAAGTCTCTGTGCATGTACATACATATCCTGTTAGTTCTGTTTCACTGGAGAAACCTGACTAGTACAGATACCGACCAGTCAAGTGTGCCCCGTTTTACAGATGAGGACACCAAGGCCAATGGGAATTAAGTCATCTGTCCAAAGCCAAGGTTTTGCTGGCAGAGATGGGCCAGAAAACAAATCTCTGTATTCTCATTCTGGCCCTTAAAAAAATTATACCATGGTTCCCTTATCCTATTTGTATTTAGTGCCTAATAGGGGGGGCCATAAAGTCATTGTCCTTTATATCCATCTCCTCACCAAATCTCACAGCTTGGCCTGCATTACCAAAGCAGCAGACTAACACTGGGGCAGAGAGCTGTGGTCTATGGGTTTCCCGGAGTCTGAACTGCAGACACCCTCTGCAGTCCTTCTCAGGTTCCTCTGCGCCTACAGTGCCACTGTTTGCTCGTAGGTACTGTCTAACCCTTTCCTTTGTGACTTGGGTAGACTGTAGAGAAGGCTGAACTCTAGGAACTGGAGCTCACCAACACTATCACACGAGCGCCAGTGTCAGGGTCAGAACTAGGAAACGTAGCTTAATTACAGTTGAGCCAACAGGCTTTTTAATTAAAATAAAATAAGTTTTAACCAAGAAACAGTTTTGCTTCCCAACAAGATGAAAGAGCAATCTTGATTTGTTCCAAGAATGCTAACAGTTGTTAATAGAACTGATGTTTCCAGGACAGGATGACTACAAATCATTAACCAGCTCATGATTAGGAACATTAACAGTTTGAGTTGAAGGGGCAAAATGCACGGATAAACTTAAATCTTAAGACCTAAACAAGCCCTGGCTGGTGTAGCTCAGTGGATTGAGCATGGGCCTGCGAACCAAAAGACCTAAACAATACACCAAACTAGCTGCCCTAAAATACTTAAATACTCCCAGAGTAGCTCTCAAAGAATAATTCAAATAAAGATCACTAAAACCGATGGCATTTCATTATGAAAGCGATATGTTAATAGCACTGAGGAGAAAGAGAAATAAGAGATGAGAAACTTTTTCAAACAAGTTGGTCAATAGTAATGACTGCAGTAAAACAGCAGTATTACATCCAGTCCCTTTGGTGCCAAGTTTCAATAGCAATTAAGTTATAAAAAGTAGCAGGAACTTAACTGTAAGAGAAAAAAAAACTATGATGAATTAGAAGGAGAAAGTGGGTTTATATCTTTATGGTACCATTCGGTGTTTGTAGATATTTTGAGTCAGTCTCTGAGTAGCATAAAACCAAGGATACAAACTGAAAAACTCCTGTTGAAACGTGTTCAACTACTGACAAACAAATGTAAATTCCTTAAGCTAAATGAATAAGTACAGTAATATAACAGAAGAAAATCATTTTAAGATTTCTTTTTTTAAAAGATTTTATTTATTTATCTTTAGAGAGGAAGGGAATGACAGAAGGAGAGAAACATCAATGTCTGGTTGCCTCTCGTGAGTCCCCTGCTGGGAACTGGCCTGCAATTCAGGCATGTGTCCTGACTGGGAATCGAACCATGATCGTGTGGTCAATCCACTGAGCTATGCCAGCCAGGGCTTTTTTTTTTTTAAGATTTTATTTATCATTTTAAGATTTCTAAGTAAATTGTTCAAAGAATTTAAGAAAGAAATTGTTGAATGGTCAAGTGTCAATTATACAGGCTAAAACCCACCTTTAATTATGAAGTTTCTACATGGCTTAGAACACATTGTTTAAAAACTTCCTTCAGATAGATTCCTCACTAAAGAGAACCTAATACAATTATCTAGTGTTGGGATGCAATGTATAAAAACAGTGCAAAAAAGACTGCAGAATGTACCTATTTCTAAAAAAAATCATTAAATATGTTGGGGAAAGTTTGAGCAAAACAGAGTGAAACAGTTTCTTTACTGAAGGACGCCTCATATCCCTTAGTGAGCTAATGTGTGAAGTCAATTACCAAGAGGGAGATACGATACACAGCATTTCCTAGACTCACTGCGATCACAGAAGCCTTCCTTCACAGAACGTTGAAGGGACTACTAACTAATGAAACAAACTTTGGGAATTAGTTGTCTACACAAACACTGCATCCAGACAAAATATCAGCCCTGTTGTTATAACATTTAAGCAAATGATACAGCATTGTGAATATAATAATAAAGTTTGCCACAACAAGAAACATTTAAGAAACCTGGCTTTAAATCCATCACTGAGTTACAATGTTTCTTGTTGCTTTACAACTGTTTTCAAATAAATCACTTGGAACTAGGTTTATGTTACCAATTATGATAAAACAGAAGGGAAAGTGAGAAACGAACTTGCTTAGTAAAAGGAAATAATCTCTCCCCTACAATTATCTAAAGTAAACTGAGATGTAAACATTTTCTGTAGATTAAGGCTCCCATCACATTGCGTCCCATAAATCTTTCTGCAAAGGTTGTGCTTATTTGTTCCTGTTTATAGTACATGCTTGTTTAATCTTTCCACACAGACTTTCTTGTCTCACACAATGTTTTCTTAAACATATGAAAATTGTTTGACTCTTCTATAAACTTACATGAACAGAATTCTTTCCAATGTCCTTCGGAGAATTAAAAGGGAGAAAGGATATGCGGTAACGAGCAACAAAAAGCTCACATCATTTAAAACTGAGAACTTGAAATTCTCGGAAGACCCTCACTGATGTTCTCAAGTCAGTTTTCAAACCAGTAGTTTTAAATCCTCATCCCCATTTTATACCTTGTGGTCATTTCTGATGGCAGTTTCAAGGGCTTGCCACAAATGAGTCCCAAAGTGCATGAGGTATTACATAGGCAATGATATTTCTAATATGAAAATCCTAAAAATGTACAATAACGTAAGAATATGAGAATTCCAACAAGGAGTGCTGCAAGTTTTAAGAAATTCTGCAACCCGTTTAAAGACTGAGATCTGCCAGTAAAGGCAATTCTCTCTTAGAGGTATTAAGTTCATTAGAAAGAGGCCAGAAGACCCAATTTTATTTCAAATCCATTTGTGTACTAATGTGGCCACTTGGATAATTTGCTTAACTTGATTTTCTCCTTCTTACAACAATCCATCAATTTCTAAAAGAAAACATTAATATCATAACCATCATGCCCATTAGTTGTGTCCGGTGATTCTGTAGGGGCAGAGGCTCTGAGGTCAGAGAGCAGGGACTGCTACCCCTGCCCTGCCAGTGACAGCAGTTTTCTTATGTAGAAAACAGGGCCATCCCCACCTCGCAGGCCTGCTGCAAGAACTGTAGTAAAGAGTCCCACTTCATCATTCTACGTAATGCACAGAGAATACTACTTGGTACAAGGTCGGCACTCAGCAAGCATTAAATTTTACTCAGCTGAGTCTTACAGTCTGTCTTTCAACAACACTGTAAACGAGGTTAGGGGCAGTGGACCACAGGAGCACCCAGTCCCTTTCATGGATGAACCATGTGGCCTTGGACAAGGCATTTCATTTCTCTGGAGTGTCAGTCAGAACCACGGCAGGGAACAGAAGTCATCCTCAAATGGGTTTCTGAAAAAACATAATAAATGGGCTGTTTCCGGGGCTGTGAGTAACAACAGAGGATGACGAGGCACTCAGGGACCAGCCGCATCAGGACGCCATTCCTACTTCCTGGCTTGAAAAGGCCAAGCAAGGAACCGAGGCCCTAGAGCCTGGTGAGGGCTAAGCCGTGGGGAGGAGCCACCGCCTTAGAGGGGCTACACAAGGAACGAGCCACCAGCGGACTGCGGGGCTAAAGCAGAGCCAGTGAGGGGAGGGGAGGCGCACACACATCCCGACCGACCGTGCTCCACACTCAGCCAAACCCCACAGGAAGCCAGAGGGGAAAGGAGCCCAAGGGCTGCATCCCACAGATTGGCGGCCCGGGGCACAAAGCTGGATGGTGACGGGCAGGGAATCAAGGTGGAGGGGAGCAGATAATAAAACACATGGGCCTCCATTCAACCAAATGTCAAATGACTGCTGCACTACCTAATCTCTCACGGCCTTTCAACCTCCAAATCTTACAAGGCCCGCATTCCCATCTACTGAATTACTATTTTGTGCTCTCTCCAGACGATGAATGTGCTACCATTAAACAATCCTAATTTATAATTAGATATGTACATACATACTTGCTGAAATTAAAGAGAAGCCTTTCGAAAACTAGAACAGGTCCTGTGCTGCTCAAAATAGTGAGTGGCTGACCAGCAAAGAGGCAAAAGACGGCTCCAGAGACAGCTGTGCCCAGGAAGCTCTCCAACACGCCCTGGTTAAGAGAGAAAATACAGGTGTTAAAAAAAAAAAAGTTGGTTTCTTCTCGTGTGTGATGTCACAAGGGAGATTAAGCCACAAGAATATGCAATCATGAAGTCCACAGCAAACATATCGAACAGATACGAACAACAGAGTCTTACCAATGTGAGCATTACCGTCTATTTCATCATACACATAATGGAGTCAGTCATTCCTCCCTACCGGATTGGCTGAACGGCTCCAAGAACTACAGGGACTAAAATGACTGGTGGTTGGCTACGGAAGGTAAAAGATGACTCTGGTCCATTCTGAAAATCAGAATCGAAGCTTCTGCATATAAAAGCACAATATGCAATCCCAGCAGGTGGGTGGTCATGACGTGTGACTTGGGGACAGTGCATTTCTCTTTGTGGTCACCTTGCGTTTGTTTTAGCCCGATTTCACCTTGCACACAGCAGGTGCTTAGAAGTAGCTATACTTTAGGCACAAAAGCTCTTTTTAAAGGAAAGCTTTTCAAGTGGAAAGAGGAGCAAAGGGGTCATAAAAAGTGATTTGCCTTCTGTCCTGCAGTCTCTAAGACATCAATTCCAAAAAATATTTGTGTGACATATTCATTGTTCAATGTGAACTTACACAGGAGCTTCCATTTACTCTATCTTAGAGGAAATAAGTGTGCAGGGACATTAGTAGCTGAACTTTTGTGGCCACACCTTCCTATAGTTATAGCTCTAAGAATCAACCCACTGTTTTCCCTTCAGCAAAACCAGAACAAAGCAAAATGAGCACAGAGCATCGCTAACTTAAAAAATTATGACAACTTTCTTAATCGCATCCCTTGGGACCAGTGCCTCCCATGATGGCAAACTAGCCGGTTTCTTCTATTTCTCATCTCAAATTTCAGTTAGAAAAAGAAGTCCATGTTTATTTGCAAAACGGTCCTTTTGTAAATTTAATATAGGACTGGTAGTTGATCACTATTGCAGGGTCAAAATACAGCACAGCCTGGGTGTGAAAGGGAAAAGGAAGGAAGGGAGGAAGGGAGGGAGGGAGGGAGGGAGGGAGGGAGGGAGGGAGGGAGGAAGGAAGGAAGGAAGGAAGGAAGGAAGGAAGGAAGGAAGGAAGGAAGGAAGGAAGGAAGGAAGGAAGGGAGGAAGGGAGGAAGGGAGGAAGGGAGGAAAGGAAAATGTGGGATTAAGAATCTCTGCTTGATCTGACACCACCACTAATGACTGTGAGGGCAGGAGCAGGGTCTCCTGGCGTCACCGTGTTCTCCTTCCTCCCATCACGCTAAACACTATACTTCCGCCTGCTCTGCAGGTACTCGGGTGGCACTAAAGGAACTCAAGAAGAAAGCCCAAATTGCACCCCAAGTCCCACTTATCAAAGGCCGATAGTTACTGTTACTCATTCGGTACAGATAACAATTACTTTCTTTCAGAAAATGGCTTTGATTTATGGACGCCATGTGAGAATTAAAAGGCAGATTACTTTTATTTCAGTACTTGATCCTTTGGTAAGTGCTAGAGTTTCCATTCTGTGGCTGACAATTTTGCAACAGAGAACGGTGATTTATTATACACACTGAACTGGAAAGAAACTTGCTTGAACTCAGAGATGCTTCCAGCATTTCTGAGAAAAGAACTGTTTTCACCATATTTTGACATGTTCCTCTTGACAATACAGAAATTTAAAAAATAATCTCATACAATAAATAACTTTAGTTTAACTGTACCTAGAATTTAAAGCAATTTATAAAGTAAACTATCAGAAACCCCTTTTCTGATTTATTATAGTCAGTGTTTGCTGATATAAAAAAGGAAAACAATGTGTGGATGTGTGTATTTTTAATAGCTATAACTCATCAAGACACTTCTACACCCGATTTCCCAGGGAGGAACAAACTCCCCAGCAATTCTCCAGAACGCAGGGGCTGTGCTCCGACCTGCGGTGGAATCACGTTCCACAAAGTGCTACAGCCCCCTCTTGCTTAGGCTTGTATTTGTTCCATTTCTCCACCTGCAGTGGAGCAGCAGAAAGAACAAAAAACTGGCAGTCACCGAATCTAGAGTCTAGACCTCCTTCTGCGACCAAGGAGATGATGATCTTGGGAGTGTCACTTAACCTGTGTCAAATGTAGTTAATCATGTACAAGAAAAACATCGAGCTGGTACAGTATAACAGTGGACTCTGGTCAGACAGTCTCAAGTTTACCTCTAAACTGTCCCATTTACTCTATGACTGCAAGCTAGTTACTTAATCTCTCTATGCCTTAGTAAATGTGTTAGATTAGATAATGCATGTGAAGCGCTTAGCATAGATAAATCATACATTTTTGATGAATCATAACATATAAATAATGTATTTATTAAGATATAAGATGAAGTTGAACTAGATGATTTCCAAGGTCACTTCCAGGTGGCTCAGCACTAACAGCGTGTCTTGGGGTCAGGAATATCTGCATTTAAGTCTCGGCTCCATCAGTCACCAGACTCTAACTCTTAATGCTCTCTTCTAGAACATCAATGGCTATTTTACGGGATAGTCATTTGGACTAAGTAAGACCACAATACATGAAGAGCTGACAACAAAGTAGAGATACAGTAAAATGTCGATTCCCCTTCCTTCCTGGCCTGCCCCTTTCATTTCTCTTTCCTTCAAAAGAGGAAGGAGATGGAGACAGAAAGTAAAAGAGGGGCTTGAGAAGATGAAGATTAGTCATCAGGAGAACAGAGGAAAAAGCCCCACTAGATCCTCAGTATTCCCCAGAGCAAATCCTAAATCAACAGAAGCCTCAGGGGACAACGCTGCAACCTTTGAGTTACTTCTTTTGGTTCCTTGTGTTACTAAACACATAGAACCGACTATAATAAAACAAAATTGTTTTACTTTATAGCAATGAATCGACATCCAAAACAATTTCTGAACATTTCTCTGCAGGGAATGAATTAAACCAAAGATGGCCCTTGTTTCACAAAACAGCCAAGAAAAATCATCACAGTACCCCTCAGAAAACACACACAAAAAAACCAAAAACAAGCATAAAAGAACTCAGACCATAGGAGTGAGATTCTAGAGGGAAAAACATATGCAACTATGATTGGTAACCCCAGCATTACAAAGTTAAAATTCATGCTGTCAACTATGACTTTACTGCACTTTTGTATCTTCATACTGACACTGTATGACCATTCTGTGTCCTTTTTATTAAGAAATGTAGTATTTGGAATAATAATCACACCCCAGTGGCTAATGAATGGCAATAACAGAAGGAGGAAAGTGGCATAACTGCCCCCCCACAATGAAGACTTCTCTATTTCTTTGACAACTCTCAGCCAAGTGAAGCTTGAAAAATAAAATACTTTGGTGGCAGAAAGTCATAAAGCATTCACTAACATTATTGTTATATTTCAAGCTTAAAAATACTGAAATGTTTGTAACAATAAAAAGACAGTTTCTAGCTCCTATTAGTGGTAATTTATACGAACTGTATGGAATGTTGAATAATAAAATTAAATTTCTCTATATGGGTCTTTGATTCTGAAATTTAGCCAAGAAAAATGATGCAGCCTAATGCCATTTAAGCATCGCCACTGGAAAGAGGCAGTATGCTCTGAATTACCTGCGGAGTCTTATGTCAGGTTCCCAGCACAAGCCAAACCATGTGATCAAAAATGATGACAGAATGATGCAAGTATATAATCAAATTTGAGTCACATGAGAATTAGCTGGCAGCTTTTTTTTTTTTTTTAAGAAATAAAAGCATTGGCTCTTTATCTCTACCTTGAAAAATTAAATCAGGGTCTCTGAAGACTGGGTGATTCTTGTGTGCCCCAAATCTGAGTCCCATCCAAGCAACCTTCCCTCCTCTTTTAAAACAGGAACCACCATGAGCACAGCTGGGGCTCAGTTCCACAGATCGCGCGTCGACAAGGGAAGAAGACTGGATATCCCATCCTCATTTTTTATCTCACCTGTGTAGCTACAGCCTATAAATCAGTGATTTCTGCTGACAGATCACAGATGCCAAATCCTAATTGCCATCTTCTCTGCCTAAAAGTGCTTTGTTGTCATAAACAGGGTTTCTGTTTATACTGCCCAGCACAGACTGAAAAAAGAGGAAAGACTTGGAAGACAAATTAGCTCCCTGCTTGAAGAAAAGTAGGAGCCAAAACCTTTACCAAAGAGCTTCAACTCCACGTCTAATAGAAGAGATGGGCAAGGCTTTACAATATTTGTTCTTGTTGGAGCAGCTCTGAGAATGTATCTACACCATCTGAAGGGCCTGAACATCAAGTGCCAGTATAACCTCACACAAAAACCAATTCCAGATGGATAAAAAATTCAAATGAAAACATAAAAGCACTAAGATAATGTGGATAAATATTTTTCTAATCTTAGAGTAGGGAAACCTCTCTAAATATATCCTGGAAATAAGAAACTGCAAAAGATTGAAGATTCTGACTACATAAAAATTAGAATCTATATAGCAAAAAATCATAAATAAGGTGAAGAGATATACAGTAAATCTAGGAAAATATATTTGTGATATTTCTGACAAGCAGAAGAAAAATATCCTTATTACACAAGGAGTTCTTACAAGTCAATGAGGAAAAAAATGAATTCCTAAATGGAAAATATACCAAAGACACAAATATAAATAAGAATACAGAGCCAATAAAAATGTGGACACCCTCACCAAAAATCAAATAAATTTGAATTGAATACGAATTGCCCTCAGAATGACAAAAATGAGAACATGGGATAAAATCCTGTTTTTTGTAAGGCTGTATAAAAGTAGACACTCTTGTCCACTGTTGGTGGAAGTATAACTTGGCATACCCTTTGTTTTTAGATAAGAAAGTTGGAGAAAACTGAAAGTCTACTGATGGGGGATTTATTAGGTAAATTACAGTAAATTAAGTAAAATGATGTGTGTGCACCGATAGGTGTGGTCTTACCAACTGCTCCCAGGACCCACCCTGAGTGGAAAGACTTCCATTAAATACTAGTCAT